GAGTGCATGGGACGCTATCATAATTTATTTAGTAGTCACAAGAGTAGATGCAGAGACAAGAAAGCTATGGGAGTTAGAGGTGAGCCGAGTACATTCAGACGGTGAAGCAGATTCTTTACCTACCTGGGAGGAGCTGAAGAGATTTATCGAGACGAGATTTAGAACATTAGAAATGTTGGAGTCATCAAATCATTACAACTGTAGAGGAGCTAACACAACACAATACAACAACACTACGAGACAAACTACAAAACAGAGATCATTTCATTCATCAGTGGAAGAGGAGAAGAGAGAGTACACATGTGTAATATGTTCAGGACAACACTTATTATATCAGTGTAAGCAATTTGCAGCACAAACCCCAGAGAAGAGAACTGAGTACGTGCAATCAAATCATTTGTGCTTCAATTGCTTATCACCTAATCATAACGTGAGGAGTTGCTATTCAACTACGAGCTGTCGTCGTTGTGCTCGACGACATCATACACTACTGCATTATGAGAGAACATCTAACCGTGAAGAGAGATCAACTGCAGAGGTATATTCAAATCATGAGAATACATCCCCTGAAGTTCAAGAGCTAAGCCAACAACCTGAGAGAAAAATTGTAGCACATTTTACCAATGAGAGACAACTGAGTAGAGTATTACTGGCCACAGCTATGGTCAAAATCAAATCACCTACGGGTCACATACAAATCGTTCGAGCTTTGATTGACCAAGGATCTGAAGCGTCATTCATAACAGAAGCCACAGCACAAGTCCTGAAGTTAAAGCGAGTTTCAGTGAACAGTCTTATATCAGGAGTCGGAGAAGGTCAAACACAAACAAAGAGTATGGCTTCTTTTGAGATCTTATCTTTACACAATCCTGAGTTTTCCATCCAAGTCAATGCATTCGTATTGAAGAGATTAACTTCGTTTATACCATGCAGAGACTCATCTATACATGATTGGCCAGAGATCACCAACTTACCTTTGGCTGACCCTACCTACAGTACACCTGGACGGATTGATATTATTCTGGGTGCTGAAGTCTACGGAGAAATTCTACTAGATGGTCTTCTGAAACATTCGAAGTCATCTGGACCAGTTGCACAAAACACGCAATTGGGCTGGATATTATCTGGAAAAATCAAAAATGAGTTAGTACAAGAAAATAGAAATATTATCAGCATGCATATACAAGTAAAGGAAGATGAGCTTTTAAAACAATTTTGGGAGACAGAAGGAGAACCTGAAACTATCAAAAGGAGAAAGTCGAGAGAGAAAATGCAATGCAAAGAAATTTATGAAGAAACGACTGAGGAGGGAGACTTTCGAAATGCTTACGACGTTTATCTGCCATACCAAGGAGTGATCAGAGAGGTAAAACCGACTACGCAAGTAAGAGTGGAGTTCGACGCATCGAGCAAAGGAGTGAACGACGTGTCTTTAAATGACAATATTCTCGTCGGACCTACACTACAAAGTGATCTACGTCGTATTCTAATGAGATGGAGATACCATAGAATTTGTATCGTTGCAGAGTTATTTAAAATGTATCGTCAAGTTGTCAACGAGCAAGACAGATTTCCAAAGGATACTGTGGAGATCAAATACAGAAGAACCTCTTCAACATTACCAACTACTGAGACTTACCTTTGAAACATCTTGTGCACCTTACTTAGCCGTGAAGTGTCTGCAACAACTATTAAGAGATGAGCAACCAGATTATCCCTTAGCAGCACAAATTACACTACGAGATTACTATATGGACGATTTACTTACCGGATGTAAAACAACAGAGCAAACTATAGACAAATATCATCAAATGAATACTTTAATGAGAGCAGGTGGTTTTGAACTTCGAAAATGGTGCAGCAACAGCGAAGTGGAACACATCTGTAAAAAGAATAAAAGAAATAATCAGTTATTACATTTCAAGTATAATAATAACATCAAGACATTAGATATTACCTGGAACAAGACCAACGATGAATTTGAGTATCACTTGCAACTACCTAAAAATAAGGAGAATCGAGAGGATGTAACTAAAAGAAAGCTGTCTGAAATAGCGCGTCTTTACAACCCAATGAACTGCATAGCATCTATTGGGGTCAGAGCGAGGAGTTTTAAACAAAACCTGTGGAGAATAAATTTATCATGGGATGAGAAGATCACCCCACAACTATTACACGAGTGGCAACAAGTCAAAGATGACTTACTTAAACTAGAGAAGATATACATACCGAGATGGTTACGCAATAGAACATCTGAGATACTTACCAAGCTGGAACGAGAGCAGTGGAGACACGTGGGTATACATCAGAACCCGGCTGACAGCGCGTCTAGAGAACGAGGAGAAACGTCTTACCGAGCTAAATCTAAATTACCTGACGAACTTCAGCATCTTCTAGCAGACGAGGAAACAGCATGGAGGTACCATCCTCCGCACGAACCGAACTTCGGAGGAGTATTTAGAGAAGCTGATGTTCGCACAACAATAGTGCATCTGAAAAGAGTAAGTGTAGAATCTGAGATTCTACACTTACCTTTGAGGAGCTAATGATCATCTTGAGGCAAATCGAATCTTTTCTTAATTCATCATCCTTGTCCTACCTGAGTGCTAATTCAGATACGGAGTAGTGTAAATTCTTAATTTCATTGTGTGTGTACGTGTGTTTTAATTTTCTTTCAATTATTTCTTTTATATAGAGTCTAGAGTTATTTTATATTGATCTTTCTTATTGTATAGAGTTTAGTGCTATCTTATCATTCATATTTCTTCTTTTATAGAGTCGAGTTTTGTCTTTTATAATTTTAATGTGTTATTGTTACTTAAGCATAGATTGCCATGGTGGGCGGTAGCAGTGTATAGTATTCAGTGTAAGAGATTTTGAGTTTGTATAGAGTTTGAAAGGACTACGTCCTTTGGTGGGCGGGATGTCTAAGCGTAATTCGATTGTATTACGTCAGAGGGCGCCACTAAAAAGGTAAAAGGTTACTGGCACACAGTGGCGCCGTGATATTTTATTTCTCTATTTTATCGAGTGTGTTTTGTTTTTTTTTTCAGTGTGTAAAACGAGTGAGTAACAATGAGCAGACAATAGTGTGTTGTCCTAATTAATTATATTTGTGAAATCGTAGTGTGTTGTATATATGTTTTGTTAAGTTATCATCATAATTCTATAATAAACATTAAGTGAAGAGAACGATGCTTTTATTTTGAACAATCAGTATAAAAAAATAAAGCTGAAATTAAACGTCCGCATGAAAAGTTAAAAGTCCCAGCATTCATAACACCTATATGCAATTCATAAATAGTATCATTTTAACTAAAGGAGGCACATTTAACTCGAGCCATTCACTCGACTCATACACCAAATGAAGTTTCATGCAGATGTAATGCACAAGTGAAAGCCACTCGAAGACGAAAGGGGCGGGGGATCGTTAGCGCGGCCTACAGGGTTCGGGGTTTCCGGGGGTTGGGGGGGGGGGGGGGGAGGTTCGTACAGCTTTTGTCCTGTGATAGATATAAAGCAGTAATAACATAAAGGGGTTTTTTAAACTTCAATTAAAATATAACTTTCTATTAGTATTTAAAATAAACATCATTTTAAAGATTTAAGACTAGTTAGAATAGAATTGCTAACTATGGTATAATGTAGCAGGTATCTTTAACTGTACCGAATGTATTATACAACGCACTCAACATGAAATAACTTCAATTTGGTGATTTTTGTACGATATTTGAATTTGCTAAGCCGGCAGCAAGGGCCGTGCCCGTGTCTGATCCGGTCCACTCTCACCGCAGGTTGTTGAGTTTGATAAGACGATATGACTTTAGATTTGTCTCCTCCGCAGCCTTTCATGGGAATTATTTTATAATGTGCAGCTCCTCAACGGCGGCGCATTTACAACACGGTGACGTCACATGCACAGCCCAGCTCCTTGCATCGGTATCGGTGTGGAATGAAACAAAGGTGACATTTGTTCAAGATGTTTTATTTGGAAAATTCGAGCTCATTAACATTAGTTCAATAATCACATCGTCAATTGTATAGTGAAAGTGACACAACCTGTCGCGCGCGCGGCCTCGTGCCGGGCACACATACACTCGCCGCCGACGCGACGCTGGGCTGACGCCGGCCATGCCGCGGGCCGGGCTCCGAGCGAGCGCGCGACTTTACAGTATTTCAGATAAACTCTGAATATCATAATATCCTCCTTGCAAAATAAAGACGATATTATTTTAAGTACTTAAATACAATATTATACTGCTTTTGCTATCGTTGACGTAATTCACATTTCCTGCTAAATATATTTACATAATAGAACGCTTTTAATTAAAGTAACTTATTGAAATGACTAGACAACTAAGAATATTCGATGGCTTGTAACGTATTGGTTACGTCGCGTTCACTAACATATTATTAGAATAACCTGTCTCTTAATTCGTTTTGTTTTCAGTTTCAATTTGATCATCTTCATCGTTGTAACATTTTTTCATCAATAAAATGTTATGCGTACATTCATTATATTATTCAACAAAATCAAGTAATATTTTAATGTCAACGGGCGACGAGGTTTATTTACAAATGTAAAGTTCAGTCATATATATTTTATAACAAGATTTAAATAACTAGAAAAGTTTATTAAATTTTTGGAAATGAGACAAATGTAGGACAACCGGCGGCGTCCGGAGAATGCAAGGGGAAATGAAGACGTCGCGTCCGCTGCGAGTCGGCGAAGTCATTGGAAGTGTGAATGGACGGATCGCACGAGACCGACCGATGACTCTGCGGCTTGACTACTCACTCAGCACACACACATATATATATTATATAAAACACATAAATCGATCTCAAATAGTATACAGGGGGAAACACATGTCCTATAAAATATTAAAGATTAGTGTAATAATTCATACTTTTAAAGAGATTTTTTTAAGGAAACTGAGAAGTGTAAACATTAATAAATATAATGTACATATATGTTCAGGATTGTTACTGATTATTGCTTAGTATAGTTTGTTAGCGGCAGTTCGTTGTGCGTCCAGGTGCGAGCCGGGAGCTGCCGGGGCGCGGTGGTGGCGGGGCAGCAGCGCGGCGGGCGCGAGCGGGCCCAGCGGGCGGTACTCGCGGCCGGCGCGGGGCCGCAACGTGCTGGCGGCGCGCCGCGGACTGCGACACGACACACTCAGATACTCTACGTCGCGTATACATACATATGAACATACACTCAATATAAATAAACTAATGGCTCGACCTTCACCTAGTGCGGTGTAGAACCAACTATGACGTCGCAAGTGGGATTAAGATTAATTCACGCTCGTGACGTGGTATGAACCATCCACCATTCCATTTAATAGGTCGTTAAACTGTTATTTTATAAATTTTATTAAAAATTTCTTACGAGTATTTTAAAAAACCAGTATAAAATATTTATATCAAAAGATGAATAGAGTTACAGCTCACCAGGGCCCGGATGGAGCCGGCGCGTCCCCGGACGACTGCGAGGAGCACAGCGATAGCGTCTCCGCATAGTCAGACATGTCTGACGTGCCGCTCGACGTGCTGTGCGCGTCCGTCACGCCTGCGACACAAACAACAGTGTTAGAATGCATGGAGGACAAACATTCAAACATTGATTTATGTTTGTATTGAAGAGAGATGCATAGATACCTCGCGATTCCCCCGATGCATGCGGAGCGGTGCGAGGCAGCGGCGGGGCGGCGGGCGGAGGCGCGGCCGAGCGCAGCGACCAGCTCGACACACCCGAGTCGTTGGAGCTGCAGGAGTCGCGTGCACCAGCCGCCGCGGCGCCACCCCGCGCCCCGCCCCGCGCTCCCGCACCCCGCGCCGTGCACGCGCACGCCGCCCGCGCACGCGAGCCCGACAAATCTCTTAACGTTTCCATCGATGTCGCCGATCCCCCGCTTCCGACGCTCCCTTCGAACTCCTCGACGTCTTCGAGGAACCGCGACGAGTCGACGGAGCTGGAGCGACGGCCGCGCGCTCTCCGCCGTCCGTCCTTCTCGTCACCGGACGCGCGACCTTCGCTGGACTCCTCGGCGCACACGTTGTTCGTCTTGTCCGGGCACAGAGCCGGATTGCTAGCCGATTTTTCCTCGAGCAGCCTATTAATCGAACTTTTGACTGGATATTTTAATGTATGAAACGCAAAGCTGCCTATGGGCGACATCGGAGTATATCCGGCGGCCAACATGCGGTCTCTCAACCTGTCGCTGTCCAAGCTGCTGGGCTCCATCATGAGGTACTCGTCGGTGCCCCCGCTCTGTGCCCCACCGCAGGACCCTACTAAACCCGTGTCGCTCCGACGGTGTCCGCACTTTAGACAGACGCTATTTTTGCTGATTTTGGCTAAAGAGAAGGGTTTTAAGTTAGCTCCGATCGCGTCTAGTTCGCTTTCGGTTATTCCTACTTTTCTCAGCAGATCTTTCGCGTTTTCGTAATGTTCCAGAGATAAAGCGAAGCTTAAGTTCTCGTAATTGGCTAACGGCCCATCGTCTATTTCTGCATCGCATGTCTGATGCTCGTTGGTAGGGGGGCATTCTTGAAGCTGAGATTTTCTTCTCGTCTTTTGTGATAAGTCAACTGTAGCGTACAGTGCGTTAGGGCCGTCACTTGGCGCTGAATTTTCTTTATTTGGCGCAGGTTTCTCGATTGCATTTGTGTCCCTCCTACAGTACGGTAACCTAATCCAAGCCTGAGCCCAGTCCGTCACTCTGCGGCAGGGACAGTTTGCCACCTCAAAGTTTTCTTCACAATCTACTATCGTAGGTTCTTTAGACTTTTTCCCGAGTTTGAGTAAACATCCGCAAGGTTTCTTAAACACGAGAGTGTCAGTAGTGGAACTTCTGGTAATTTTAAACAATTCCCGATTCAAACATTCCTTGAGTCTTTTAGGTGTGTCGTAGTACTCTCCATCGATCTGCTAACAAATAATGTTTTATATGCACGAGCTACAGCTCAACGAGAGACGCATGGCTCGTTGGAACTTCTTGGATAGCACGGAGTTTGAAATAAAGAGATTAAAATATGATATTTAGTTTTGATTCGTACCCAACTAAAAACTAAACAGTTTCATTTCTATGTTTCGTGAGTGGAAAGGTGATTACCGAGTCCATTATATTGTGAATGTTCAGGAATTTTATCTTCATCGGTTTGGTAGCACGTCCTAAGAGAAATTTATATGCAAGTTATAAGAATTATACCACACAAAGATCTTACCTCTGCTGAAGGGACTTTCGGAACATCGTAATTTTCGTAAGGCCCAATTTTCTCTGTAAACGCGCTGAGTTGCGAATGGCTGCGCGAGCGGGCACAGCGCGGCGCACTGCTTACAGCGAGCACCAGCTCCGTCTGCTTGGCCGGTCTCCTGGGCGGCGTATCCGAACATCGGCAAACTTCTTCAGTCTTATTTACAACAGGCAAAGCTTCACAACTCTCTATATTATCACCTACACCATTATCATTTTGTACATTATAACTTTGAATATTTTCATTTAGTGCGTCCATAGTCCACGCGGGACTGAAGTGCTTAGCGCCCGGTGTAAGCGCGGCCGTGGAGGAGCGCGACATCGCGCCCAGCTTGCACATGCAGCTCCGGCAACGCTGCAGCTGCGCGCCGCCCCACGCGCTCCCTGCGCCGCTACCGCACCCCGTGCCCTCTGCATCGCTCACCGACACCGTGTCCCCAAGCCCCATGTCCTGATAGTGAGTGCGCTCCGCAGAGGGCCAGTACGGTGATACGGCACCCGCGTCCTCCGCACAGGGTTCCTCGTACAGACGCAAGTCTGCCGGCGGCCGCGCACGCTGCGCCGTGCTCGGCGCCGACCCGTGCGCCGGCTGCGTCCTCGAACTCTCCGCGCCTGCGCCGGGTAATTTAGTTGTTATAAATGCTCAATTAAACAACTATTTAATGTAAATAGTTGATTTACTTTTCTTACATATGCATATGCATGTAACAAGAATAAACCATGTCCCATTCGATCAGCAAGGTAATAAGTTTACTATAAGCACCTTCATTTTTCTTAAAAACAGCAAACCATCTGGTGGGAGAGACATTCCCACGAGAGGCACATTCGAACTCGCGCGCGATCTCCGCCGCCTGATCCGTCACTAGCACGTGCAGGCCGGCGCCGCGGCCGCAACGCACCCCGCCCTCCAGGCAGAAGCGACCTTGCGCTGCGCCGTACCGCCTGCCGAGTAACCACACATATAAAGGTGTGCTTCGAGTTAATCATAATTATTGGCAGGATCTGCTCGGTGCTAGCAGTACCTGAGATGCGAAAGCTCCCAAACGGCGAGTAGGCGCGGAGGCACACCCGCCACGAGCGCGGCATGCGGTGCGCGCAGCAGCAGGCGTGCCGGGCCCGCCGCCAGCCGGCTACCGCGAGCCACCACCACAAGCCACTGTCGCGCGCCGGCCACGTGCGCTTGCAGCTTCACCTGCGCATCTTACAAACTTTCACTACTAACACAACTCTCTGGTTTGCCCTAACTTACTGTCTATTTATGGAATTATTCGTCTCAAGAAAAAAAAAACATACAAAAAATAGATCTTTAGAAAACTCTATTCTTTTACTTTGCTCTACTTCTTATTTACTTGTTACCCTTCTTCAGTCGCGGTAGCGGATGTGCGGTGACAAGTTCATGGCCGGCGGAGATCACTTAACGTTTTGTAGTTTCGTATCCCTAAAAGTATATTTATGAGGAAAGCACCTTACCGCCAGAGGGCAGAAAAAGACGCGCACGAACCTGCCATTGCATAAGGCGCTCCCGGGTCTCGAAGGCCAGTACTGCGGTGTGGTCGCGACACACGAGCGCGAGCGTGTGTGAGTGCTTGTCGAGGGTGAAGCCCGCCTCGCAGCCCAAGTAGCCGTCCAGCGAGAGCGCTGCCTTGCTGGTGGCGCCGGCCCAACGTGCGCGTGCATCGCCATACAGCTGCAGCTGCACGCAGTCTGCACACATTTCACGAACCGCTTACACTACGTCTGCGAGTCGTTGACACATGTCAACGAAATCAACAACTAAGCAAACTATAATTTATCGACCGATGTAGCACATTATTGATAACTTTTTCTAACTACTACTACTGAACACTATTTCTTAAACCGTGGCAGTATTTGGGACTCAACTGGACCACGACTGACAACGAGAGGCCCAGCCTCGCCCGGCTGGCCGTGTGTCACAATCACTGACTTGAATTCACAGATGATCGTACCACGCTGCTGGAGATAACAATGGAACGGACAAAAAAATGGTCTGTCTCGGCAGTATTTCAAAACCGTGACGACATAGATTACTTCGAGAAGCAAGCGTATAACCTTTGCAAAGGCCGACAACGCATCTGCAGTTACTCTGGTATTGCGGATGTCCATAGATGTCTTTGATAATCTCGGTGTCACCGCTGCTCGCTTGCTCCCTTATTTCATACTTATTATTACATTTATATTACATAGTAGGCGTAAGCGTAGGCGTGGACGCTTGTCAACAGCTTTGTTGACGTTGCACGTCAAACGAAAACCCTCTTCATTGCAGGTCATAAATAACTTTAGTTAGATTCGTTAGAATGTGGAGGGAGGTTCAATCGTAGCCACAAGCGATCATTTTCAATTTAAATTAGTGAGAACGGTTTAAAATTGTACGCAGCGGCGCCGTCGCCGAGTCGTGCAATTAATGCGTGGTGCAGCGCGGCGAGTGCGGCGCTCGTTATACGCCGCACGCCGCCACTGCAATTTGCGTTTCGATGAACGCTTTAATTAACAAAGTACGACTGTCGCCCGCCGCCGCGCCGTCCACAGCGTCGGTCGTGCCGAAGCGGGCAAAACATCGGCCGCGCGGATGTCTGCCTCGCTTGACCGACGACAAAGCCATCAACGTCGCTCATATGCTCAATTACAATCCCTTTAATTGGAATACTTTGCAAATTAATTAGAATTAAGTAAATGTTCCTGCGGCAAATCATTACCGCTGGATGCCCTACAACCGTCGCCCGAGGATCTTTTAAAGAAATTAGGAAACTTTGTTCAGTCGCCACTAAAAGTATATCGGCAACAACTTCCATACTGCAATATTGTAATTAAATCTCAGCGATACGTGGGCAAAGAACAAAGAACGACAGAGGGTCAAAGAATAGCAAAAAACAAAAAGTTGTCAACTCAATTGTCGTGATCACCCGCATAGAAACATAGAAAACTATTATTAACATACTATAAATAAGTAAGGTTCACGCGTAACATCTAACGATTAGGCGAAGCGCGGGAAGGGTAATTGAGCGGCCCGTTACTTATCCCGGCGGCGGCCGACAGCGCCCAGCTCAATTTGTAACTAACAGCTCAGAACTTGCTCTATTTGCTTACTTAATGACTCAAATGTAAGGACAGACTGGGGGTAATTGTTACGTGTCGCGTTAGTTTTAGATGAACAATCGATAACTAATAAAACAATGACAAAACAAAGTATTGAAAATGTAATTATTAAATTACTTACAAATTTATACCTAAAAATGTCGCAGCTGTCGTAGCCACAGTTATTACAATGTTTGTCTTCATAGTACCAAATATATTTTCGAATCACTCCTTTAACACAAGGAAACTAATGTGGAAATCGAACCTATTTGTCAAAAATGAATTTCATAGCGACAGTCACGTAGCACAGAGAGGACTCTACCGAACCCCTCACCTCCCCGCCGCGCAACCTAACAATCCTCGCTGCTTAGTATTCAGCGCAATCTCGCGCTGATACACTCGGCGCTCGTCACTCGTCGCCTACGTAGGTAGATACTACGCGATGCTACGACGCCCGAGCGCTGCGTCGCTACATCGTTACGCCACGTCGTTATTCAGAGCGAGTTGTCGCCGAAAGCCGTTTTGTTCGAACCGCGCCGTCACAAATTCCTATTTCACTTTGTATAGGTGCCTTTCTATTTAATTTCTTCAGAGCGACGATTTCGAAATTTTATTCAGCCGCCGCCGCCGAGCTGCCGCCCCGCGAGGTGTCCTTTCAGCCGCACGCATTGTGTTGCTGAGCATCTGAATACATCACGTCACATCACATCGACTTTAATCATTTTTATTATAGATTGTCACAGTAAAACCGCTGCTCGGCAAAATTTATCTCTACAAATTTGATTTAAAAATAAACTACGTAACTTTTCTTTTTTTTTAACGAAACACGAATAACTCAGTTTGATTTTCTAGTTTGCAGTTTGCTGGAGAATACTGTGCTTGGAATTATTTCTAAGTAGATTGTCAAATAGAAAACATGGAGATCTTTTGAGTCAAGGCAGAGGCAGGGGTTGCGACGGGGGCTAGGAGAGACACCAGCGGTAACGGTGGGCGCGGGAAGGGAAGTCTTCGGGGAGCAATTACATGAGGCAAGCGGCCGCGCCGGCATACAGGCGCGCCCGAGACAGAAGCTACAAATTGCGCATTTAGAGCTCAGATAAGTTATCGGATCTTCCCTTCTATTATATACATAATATGTTAATAAAGACATTTTCTATACGCGGGAGTAAGTTCAGACAATTTGCTTTAGCAACATGAGCTTACATTAAACACAAGTATACTTTCAAGTATTCCAAAGTCTGAAAATCTACTGACAAGGATGTGCATTTCCTTTCTCATGTAACGTAATATGTCTCAAAAGACCCTGTGAGAACACGGCAGGGGGCGGCGAGGGCGTGGGCGCATGCCGACGAAGCAATACAAACACCGCGGTAATAGTGCTTATGCCCGTTTAAGCGGCTCCTCTTCCCCCTGCCCCGGCACCCCTCACATTATCGTTCTTTTTACTAGGACGCGCCGCAGCCAACAAGCCGCAGCGACAAACAAAGTCAAGCTGTTGTGAACCGATGAATAGATCATTCATGTATGCCAGCCAACGGCTATTAAAATTATTATTGAAATTTAACATGGTGATAGCGAGCCTGTAGCATTGTGCCGTCACCGACCACCGCCGCACTTTGCTACGCCGAGAAAGTTTTGCCAGCACGACTCCATTGATATTGTCTATGCTTATAAGTCGCATTGGAGCCTCACACCTCACGACACATGTATTTACGTTTATTGAGAGGTGACATCGAACACTACGAGTGCACTACTGCCTCATATTACAGCAAGGGAGTACTCTGGGGACGGCAGCAATTACCAAACAACTTTTAAGTTCCCCACGCTATTTTATGCATAACTATTAAAGTGAATTCTTACGTTAATAAATACATTCAAAGAGAACGGACCGACTCCGCTCACTCGACACAACATTAAGGTGACCCAGCACTTGTGTTTTTAACCGACTTCAAAAAGAAGGAGGTTACCAATTCGTCTGTATGTTCTTTATTTATATTTCATGGTATTATGAAATAGAGAAAAGATTATGTTTAACTGAAGAATCCGACTGCAGTGACACATCTATTAACAGATATTATCTCTGTTGTTGTTGTCGGAGGAGGAGGGAATGAAAGGAAGGACAACATTTATTATTTCAAGTTCCAGTCGAAATCCAGTGTGATAATATAGTAGTTATATATTTCTTCATCTAATACTTTACGACACGACTTGTACCGGCGGCACCTACGAGTTAATTATTTCGGCAAACTAAAACATTTTGTATGTAGCAGGATACGAACTATTTCCTCGCAAATGGTCATAAATGTATCGGACGGGTTTTTCCCCCGAATGCTACACCCCGCATCACATTATCAGATAGACGAAGAAAATAGCAAGAAAAAAGTCTTAGTAAAATTAATCCATAATTAATATGTAAACTGACAACATACAGCCAAGACGACGTCTATGTAATGCAAAGTTTAATATAGCAAGTTGTTTCCTATCTCTCATTCTATGTTTAACAAGGAATGCTATTGAAATTCTCAACCTCAGTATTCGTATATAATATCGATGTTGGATCTTGTCTGACCGTTCACTTCCACTGACAAAACTGTTATCTCTTACATTATTGTGCAGATGTTTGACTGAGAATACCAACGGTAACTTTATTGTTAAACATTAAATCTGCACGTAGCTGTGCTTCTTTTGTTAATTAACGCGATTTGCGCGGGAGGAGGGGCGGGAGGTGGCGGGGGTGGGGTGGGGTGGAGTGGGGGAGGGGGGTTGATTGTTGGCATACGTCACACGTTCATTAATTAACATGGTAATTATTAACGTCACCGAGCAGAATGCTTTTAGCAGGCATGTGTACACTTTGTATAGTATAATAATAAGCAAAAGTCGATGAGCAGAGGAAAAATGAACTATGTAAATATGTGTGAAATAAAATAAATCAACTGATTATAAACAATAATTGTGTGGAGCGAGTCCGGGCGAGGCGCGCACACTACCGTACAGCAACACAGCACAGCACAGAACAACACTCACCCGCTACAGGCGACAGTTTCCGCATCACGCACCATCGCGACTTCCACTGCAACACAACACAACACAATCACATTGCCGTAAAGTGAAATTTTAATCTCATACATATTTTGCCGATGACATTACGAAGGCTCGTGTCGTAAATATTTCTGCCGGCCACTCGGCATCGGTCACGCTCGTGAATTCAAATTCTATATTTCAACTTGTATCGTGAACCATATCTTAACACAAGACTAGAGCTAACTAGAGCGAGATGGTCAACGGTGACGTCACGCGATTGCGACAGTAGCAGTGCCGGGCTGACCTTCTTGCCGTCGCGGAACTTGACGGTGCCTTCGATAATGGTGCTGTCGTCCGCCATCGCGCATGTCGCACTACAACCGCGCCGCAGTCGCGCCGCAGTCGTGCCGCAGTCGTGCCGCTGTCGCGTCAGTGTGGAGCTGAGGCGACTAGGCGCCACACAAGCGCTGTAACAAATTACATATGTATTCGTTTGTCAGAAAGCATTGCGCATCTCATCTCATCTCATCTCATTGCCAATGTTCAGCCTCGAGCAACACAACAATACAATCTCTTAATCTCTTTCAATGTATATATGTAATACATGTTTTTAAATTTTTCTTTGTCCTTTACTTTTTTCTTTTTTGATAATATTAATACTTTAATCTTAATATTCATTTTTAATTCTTAATACTTATTCCGATTATAAACGCGAATGTTTTGATCGTTGGATATAATTTAAAACAAATATATAACGGTCTGGTAAACCTTCTACGTCATATTTTTTGACCCCAAAAAAATATGCAGTTCCCGTGCAATATTATTTCTTATCGTCAGTTTGGGTTTCAGCGTCTGTGTCGATTGCGGCAGGTTTGTAGTTTACTGACTACAATTCAAGACATAAGCAAACATAAAGACACAGCGACTTTCATAAGTGTGAGTTCACAGCGCCTGATAAAATAATGCTTAATGAATTTATTACTGTAATATATTACTTATGTATTTAAGTATTGATATATTTTTTAGATATACAGAGAATACCCAAGGTCAGTGGTTCGTTCGAGCGCGATAACGATGACAGCATGTAACAGATCGAACATAATCTGCCAGATTAAGAGATAAGGCACGCCGAGACATGGATGGATGTCGCGAGGGTCGCGGCCGCTTGAAGGTCGAGCGCCAAGGTGCGCTACCACCTCGAGCATCAAACAGGCAATACCAACTGTCTGATATAATCCTTAAACCTTACTTATTTAATGTTAATTTTTTATTTATGTAAAATGCGTTCTCTGTTAATTTAACGATACGATATATCAGAAGAAATTCGATGTGTGCCAAGGGGTAGATGACATGAATCCTATACTGAGCTGCTATAATCTCCTCCATCTGTGTCCAGTACTTCCTACATTATCTTCCGCGCAGCTACGATATCTCACACTCATCTAATTACGATGACATCTCACACACGGCGGCCTCTCGCTCGGGTTTCTCGTGGTCCTCCACACTGACTGTGCCCCGGTGTGAGTAGATAATCGTTTTTTTTTTTCAAATAAATGTAAAAGTTACTTCAAAATACTAAAAGTGATTTCTACAATTCCTACAAGTCCACATGAATAATTCAAAAACTATTTGTCAGTTTTCATAAAAAAATTGGCCACATGTTGATAAGCATTCCTTTTGGAATAGACAAAAGAATGTCTACAACTAGCTTTTCTAAATCTAATATAGATTATCACCTAGCGACGCCCTTGACAAGCTGTCCAACATCACAGCCTGACTATGTTGCCCAGCCTGGCCTTGTCTGTCCACTCTGCCTAACCTGGTCAGCTTCAAATTTCGTAATTTCATACCGTTTGTTGAGATCTGATGGAATTTATAGCTAGCTCACCTAAGTATTTTGAGAGCAGATAAGTTTAGGAGCGACAGCATGGCGCGGGGTGCGGGGCGCGGGTTGCGGAACGGGGCGCCAAAGTTTTTACTTTACAAGTTTCTCCGCTTGTCAGTTCGAAAAAAAAACCAATGCAATATCAAGATTTAAAAAAAAAACAGAAATTGTAAGGTTGTAAGTAAATTTGTTCATTGATGAAATACCTGTCATTTGAACTTTTATGAACTCTTACCGTTTTTATACATTTTATGCTATTGTCACAGTATCGCATCGCAAAGCACACTCTTCTCATCAGTCATCACAAAAAGGATTGCGTTTTGCATCTCTTGTCACTTGTTTTCAATCACCTACGACGGACAATAAGCAACTCACTTTACGAAAACTTCGCGCTCAAAAGTGTGCCACGACACGGGAGACACGCGCCAGCGGCAACGAGCGCGGCGTGCGGACGCAGGACTACTGGCGGCCGGGACCGGGAGTGGGAGCGCCGGGACGCCGGGACGCCGCGAGTGCAGCGAGGGGTGCGGACCCGGGGCGAGGGGTGCGGGGCGCGCAGCGCGGGGCGCGGGGTGCGAGCAGGGACCACCGGGAATGCCGGGATTTCGTCGTAGTGCTTAGGCGAGTTCCTTGATACCCCTAGAGATTTGTTTCCTTGATTTTTTGTTACGTCAGCAAGAGAGACCTCTGTTCCCGAATTATGTCTGAATATAACTTATCGACGCCGACCTACAAAATTAACTGTGTCAGTAGTCACATTCACAAGGCCTCTTTGGCGGGAAATCGAATGTGAAAAGTGTAATTCCATACTTTGAAAGTGCTGCAGTGAACAGTCGCGACCTTGTGGAAATATGTTACTCGTAAGTAGTACATAGATTATTTATAGAGAAAGTAATATTGTGTAAATAAAAATTGTATGCATGAGTTTTACAAGCCATCTTAAAACATTTAATACTTGCAATCCTTAAGAAAAAAATGTTATATCGATTTTTACGATACGAATTATAAGAAAATTTCCTCTTCAGATGTTATTAAATCCGTTCAGTTAAAAATTCAATTTCCCGAAGCTATCCCGGCATTCATAAAGGCTCTGCAAAGTTTACGACCTCAATATGGAGCACAGGAATTATGTCCTCCATTCGCCGTCGACTTATCGCGTTCGCCTCGCATCGTATCGCATCGCATCGCATCGCATCGCATCGTATCACACGACGCGGATACAATAATCCATACAGATGTACATAACAACTCTGTAACTGGTCAGCGTCAGCACAAGGGTAAGGACAACTATACCTAATAACGGGTCTGTAACAAAGCATATAGAAAAAATTAACTTTTTTGTCAGTTTGTCTGTTTGTATGTATGACAATATGTATGACTTTGGTGACGCGGAGACGTCACCGTATATTGTCGTAAATAATAGCCAGTTGACGTTGACTTATTTACAAGCCCACCGGTTGCGGTATCGTAATCGCCATTTCTGTCAACGTTGAAGCGTCTTCTTTTGCTTTGTTCTCCACTTCGGATAACTTGCATTGCAGCTCACAAATATTCTTAGGTGTAAATTTTTACCGTCACTTATAAATAAACTAATAAAGAGTGTTGCAGAGGCCGCGGCGCGGGATTACGGCCCTCGCCGGCCGCTAAGCCGACGTCCATGTAATATAATCTATATACCGTCTAAGTCCATAAGTCAACACACTATCATAATAAATCTATAAATGTTTTTAAAGATAAATGTGTTTCAAAAAAGGTAAGCGATAACAATCGGTGCTTTAGGAATGCAAAATATCGTAATATTTTATATGGCGGTCTACTTCTGTTGGCACGTGTTCGTATACACCAAAGCAACGCGGGCACGTGTTCGTGTACAGTACTGTGAAACAGTAGCAATAAGTAGTGCAACTACTCAATCTATATTTCATTATTTATTTATTTTTTATACTTTATACGTGTTATTTTAAATTTTTTGTTATAACAGAAGGGGGCAAACGAGCAGCGGGAACACCGAAGTGTTCAACGACGCCCATGGACATCAGCAATACCAGAGGAACCGCAGATGCGTTGCCGGCCTTTGAGGTGGTGATAGGCTCGCTTCTTGAAGGACCCTAAGTCGTATTGGTTTGGAAATACCGCCGAGGACAGACCGTTCCACAACGCGGCTGTGCGAGGCAAGAAGTTGCGCGAGAATCGCACCGTTGTGGAATGCCAGCCATCCAGGTGGTGTGGATGGAACCTGGCGGTTTGTCGTGTCGTCCGATGACGGAACTCGGCGGCAGGAATCGTTCCAAACAATTCTTCAGAGCACTCCCCGTGGTATATGCGGTAGAAAATGCAGAGGGAACTAACGTCCCTCCGCAGCGCCAGAGTGTCGAGCCGATCAGTAAGAGCTCGGTCGTTGACGATTCGAATCGCTCTCCGTTGTATGCGGTCAAATGGAAGAAGCTGGTACTGGGGTGCTCACGCCCAGAGATGCGAGCAGTATTCCATATGGGGCCGAACTTGCGCCTCATACAGTTGAATTTTGTAAAGTTTCAACAATATACGAACCTTTACAAATATAATATATAATTTTTATTATTGTGTCGTGTTATCGAGTGTCGGCTGCCGGTTGCCGACCGCCGGCCGCCGGCCGCTGTCGAAACTCTATCGCGCGATCTATCAGGGGATTACAAAGTAAATCCCTCATTTACGACGTAAATTAATGATGATTACAAATAACGTTT